TCATCTTGTACCCTTATTAAGCATTCTAATTAGCTAAGGTTCTGAGTTTCTAAGAGTGTCTTTGTGCATAGATAGACATTTGACTGCAGTAGTGTGCAATGTGAATGGAATAGAGTTCTCTTATTTTTTATCTTTCTGCTGTGCTCATATGGTTAGCAGAAGCGCACACTATGCTGGAATGCAGGGTTTCCATGACGCTAATTAACTAAAAATGTGGCATCAGTGCAGGGTGTACTCACGCCTCTTTATCTGTGAGACAGATCCTGGGCTCATGACTGTTTAGGACAACTCATTTTTCACACATGGAAGCAGACTGCTTTCAGTTTTCTTAGGCTTCTAGCTGAATGGCAACTAGAATACAAAAACCAGGGGAGGACATGAAGTAAAAAGAATGGGATTTTACACTGAGCGGCTTGTCAATGGAACTCTGTATCCCATCCTCCACTCAAAAGCTGATTTTTTTTCTTCCACTGAGTGAAGGCTTGCACTTTGTGAGAACTCAATTTATTGTCTTATTAAAGCCTTATTTCTCAGGTCGATGAGACGACAGGCCACTATTTGCAAATGGCCTCTTGGACAAAGACAAGGTTTCTTAGCCAAATAGCTATTCTTGTCCCCGAAAGAAGTGTGTTTTACTTAGTAATTCCTGTTGCTTTTTCACATGGCAGTAGGGCCTGGCCTATTATATGCACCCTGAAAGGAGCCACAAGGTTAAGTGATGATCTTATGTAGATTATGCTGTGTCCCACTGAGTAGAAAACTACACTTTATAGCTTGCTAATTTGTTTTTTGGACAGTGTAAATGAACACATTTTTTTTTTATAAGACATGTTTGTGGCTGCTCAATAAAAAGGTCTTCTTCCCTTAAAACCTGGCCATTCCAAGAGAGAGAAAATCTGTTTGCCTCCTATAATGGGACATAGAAAGAATTTACTGCACAGCTTTGGACTGACTTCCAGAGTTAGTGTACAATAACTGAAAGATATCTAAGTAATATTTTGTTTGTATTGTTGCTTTTGATTGTTGAAACATAAAAATACCATCACGATTTGTTTTTGTCACCTGAGCTTGTCTCCTCCATTCTAAATGTCGTTTATTTCTAGTGTCTTTTTTATGCACCCAAGGTACAGTAGGTTTGAAAAGTTCAAAGCCTCAGAGCTAACTAACACTGCAACTGTTCTGAATGTCATGTTGAGCTCACTCCAAAGGCAAAGTCACAATATTCAGCATAATCTTTTTCTTCAGTGTGCTGGGTTTTTGGCACACAATCTGAATAAAACGGCTATGGTAATAGGTTTTAATTTACTGTATTATTTGGTAGCATGTGCGCTATCTTTGTAATTGTGCTTTCAACCATTTTCATTTCGATAAGGTTGTTGTATTAGTTCTGAGGCCTGTCTCTTCAGGGTATTGCTTCCTTTCTGCTTTTGATTAAAGCCTTTCTTAATAATAGTTCTCCCTTAATCCCCCTTTTCTTATTAAAAAAATACTTTGCTTTGTTTGGTTGCCCTGTGCAAGTGTTGACTTCTTCACAACCCCAGATTATGACCTGTTTTTGAGGTCAGGCTTTAGAAAATGGAGTTCACCTGGGGTGTGCAGCTGCATTCAAGAGAAAGTGCTCCATGAGGAGGAACGTGTAGGCAGGATGGTAGGGGCCTCTGAGGTAGAATATTGTCTCTGATACAGAGCAGTTCCATACAGGCACATTCCTTTCCACAGCAGTCAAAAGAGAAATCTGCTTTTTTTTCTAATCAATTGGACTGTATTCTCTGACCAAAGATTGAACTGTGCCTGGCTCCCATTAACATACTGTACTCAAGTGCTGATGTGTGCCTTTTGGGCGGATAGTTCACCTTCTCATACGCATAAAATTAAAAGGAATTATGAAAATGCCGTGTCTTTTAATTATTTTCTTTCTAGATTACCTTTCTTTAAAATAAACTATTACTGTCCTTTTCATTGTGAAAGGAGGGTTTGTGATAAAGGATTAATACAATTGGTGCAGTATTAAATCTCATACTTTAAACATATTAATGTATACATGCAAAAAGTTAATTAGATATGTAATAGGTTTCCATCTGGAATAAAACATGAACTGTGCCCAAAATGTGGGCAACAAATACCATTAAAATTGGAGGCGCTCTTATTTTTTTGGCGTTTGCCTAAATCTTGATTTACCATTATGGAGTGTAAATAATTTATGCAATCATATTGCAGCATGCTGTACTTCAAATACTAACTCTTGAGAGCTCAGTAACTTAAAAGTTCCATTGAGTTGTTCTGTAATTAAATTCCATAATGTTGAAATCTTGTTGGCATACCAATTCCATCTGCATTCTTACACCAATTATTTTCTCCAAACAGTGCAAACTCCAAGGAAAAAACTAGCCACAGGCCAAATGCCTTCATAGAAAATCCTCCTGCAGATGAAAGCCACAATAAGAGATAGAAATTTCTCATTTAGATTAGCATCTCAGAT